TTTATTCACACGTGGCGGCTAGCGATTGGCTTGCTAGCCGTATAAAAGGCTTGGGTGGTTTCCGCCCAAGTGGGAGAAGTTGGAGAACTTTGAGCACGCTGCAGAGTGCCCCTACGGAGATTTGACCTGAGGCTGCTGATCGATAGACTGATCACCTATCGATTCTTCTCCCCGTCGCCGATAGATTCCTAGACGTATCCCTCCCCACGCACAAAAGAACCGGACCCACGGAGCCTAGCAAACTTCGTGTGAGTGAACAAAAGGATTAGAGCTCTTTTGTACAAGTACTTTCTTTAGTTGACACAACGGGCTCGCGTGTTTAGAGCCTTCAGCCGGATTGGGCTAGAGTTCGCGAGTTTAGAACTCTTGTCTGCCTCTCTTCTTTCCTGTCTGTAACCGCAACTCAAGCAAGTTTTCCTGCCTGCACCGCGACCATCTTCGGTGTAAGTAAAATAATCTTTAAATCAACCATTACGTGTCCGTGCCTAATTCCAGCGTGTCGCCTGTTCTCTCCGATCCAGCATGCCCAGGCTGCTGGCCACAGCTCGCGCATAGCACAAAAGGGCCCCGATCGCTCCCCGCCGTCCGCACATGGCGACGAGGGTGGGATCGGGAGACGGCCTGCACAACAGGTAAGGTTTCTAGCACAATCCTTGAAGGGAGACGATCTGTTCTTCCAGTGTCCCAAGAACAACAGTGGGTGGTGTCAGCACACAGTTTTTCTTCTTGAAGCGCACACACTGCTGCTTTTTACAGAATCTTATACCCTCAGTTCAGCTGCTGCTTAGCATTCTCAATAGTCCAAATCATTCTTTTCTATTAACAAGGGGTTATCTGGTTTGGAACATCTCAAGAAATTGATTGATAATCAGGAAACACATAAGGTTAGGGAGTACCCAGACACTTGGGAGCCAGCTTGAAATTCCTATGGATAGCAGATATACTGATGGGATAACTCATGGTTTCTTCAGAAACGATAGCTTGCAGCATCAGGATTTTAGATTTTTACTTGTTGTGAACAAGCCTCAGCTTAGCATGACTTCTCCAGATCTTACTATAGTCTTTTAACAGACTTAAGGCAATTATTGGGGTGTTCATAACCTTTGGGCAGGAGGACTTCCACCAGTCGTCCTGGGAAAAGCATGACAACACCTGTGGTTAGGGCTCCAACGGGCTGGATGCTGTGATGAACCCTTAACCATTCTTCAAATGTTGCCCATACCCCCTCTGACTCGGCCTCTTGCCTCAGCATTCCCTAACTCGGCAACTGAGTTTTAGTCAATCAAGTTTAAATAGGCCTCCCATAGTGGGACCAGGGAATGTACGGCCCGAGATGCCTATTAAACTTAGAGGTGTGTCCGGGGTGGGGGGAGTCTTTTGTAAATCCAGATTAGAATTGGTCTGATAAATGCTGAGCTGGGTGTGTGAACATGGGTTGATTAGCATTTGGAGCACAGATTCCCCATCATGCAGTGCTCCCCTGCTTCTCTGATCCCAGAATTCACTGCAATCTCTGCTTCAGGCTTTCTGTTCTCCATCTGTCATATAAATGAATGGTCATCGGGTTCCATCTCGGATGCAAATGAGACCTAGGGCAGTTGTTTCACTTTTGTCACCCTTATCTGGAGGGTCTTAGGTGCGTCTCTCACTGCATCTTAATCAGTTTTGTTTATGTAGAGAAGGGGAGGGAGGGGTGAGTCCTTTGTGAGTCAGACAGGCTATATCCTGTGCCAGGTTTGCCCAAGAACACAGAGCTGAGACGTAACAAGCCACATAGCATGGTTTCATGGGCCGGATCTCACCTGTGGGCAGGGGGGTTGAACACTCCTGATATACTTTTTTTTTTTTTTTTTTTTTTTGGTAAGTTTGCTTTGTTTTCTGAGTGGGGACAGGATGTGTGCATGTCCTGTGTTCATGATGGCATCAGTTAACATGCCAACCACCAGGCCTGATTCCTATGTGACTTCTTAGATAAGTGGGGGAGGCGATTGGCTGTGTTGGCCTGCAGTCATTCAGAAAGCAGTGGAGAAAGGCACCTTCATAGGCTATTCTAATAAGATATACGGAGAGAGTGAATGCAAGCTTTGGTGAAAGCAAGCTCACTTTATCAGATGCCGTGAGAGGACCCGCATTTAGTTCCTTATGCTTCGCTTCTTGCCAGTCCTTTCACAATACCTGGTGAAGTAAGCTTGGGTTTACAGAATAGAATAGAATGGGGGTGTGTGTATGTGTGTGTACACACTATCCAATTGCCCATCATGAATGAGCAAATGTGGGCGGGGACAGACTCCTATGTCCCATGTCCTGCCCCCCCCTCCGCCAGGCCCAATCTCCCATTCCCTGCTGCAGTGGTGGGGGGGGAGGGGGAGGGGTGGAGTGGGCCCACGCCCAATGCGGAGGCTGTGGGGGAGGATTAGGCCCAAGGGTGGGGAGAAGCTGGCTTGCTGCAGTGTGGGGCCTGGGCCGACATGGCAGCAGAAGGACGAACAGGCTCAGGGTGACAGGGGGGAGGAGGCCTGCTCCTCCCCTTCCCACACTGCTTCCAAGTGGGGCCAGGCCTGTTGCTCCTCCCTGCCAGCTGTGGTGACCTGCCTTGTCTTCACCCTTGGGTCTGCCCCTCCTGAGTCGGGCCTGCTTCTCCTGTCCACCTACCACTACCTCATAAGTTCTGCTGACGGTGATGATGGAAGGGGGAAGGC